CTGTGATGGACTGGCACCCCACCAGGGTGTACCCCGCTCTGGGCTTTTTAGGGATACCGTGGAACTGAAGTGGTTATGATGGATGGATGGATGGATGTACATGTTAATTTAAATTCTTTTGGCTACAGGGATTTCAGAAATGTAAACATGGATTGTTAAATTATTTTTTCACAATTAATATACATGATTAAATGTCCAAGCCAAACAGTCTGGTATGTGCTTTTCATACCAATGTTCAACAAGGGATTCAAACCCAGAACCCCCAGGTGATAGACCTGTGCAGGACCAGTGAACACATCTGTGTTGGTACGCTGTCTGACATGAATTTCATGGTGACTGACTCTATTCTTACTTTATATTAGTTGCTGTCAGTGTTTATCTGGCAAAATACTCAGATGAAGCCTGGAAAGAACAACTTGCAGTATTTTCCACTTTATTAATGTTTCCAGTCATCATGGTTTTATTCCCAGGTAAGTATGTTTTCAGGTTTTAAGTACACTGTAAAAAAAATCCCTGTAAAATTACAGTAAACTACTGGCAGCTGTAGTCATCAGTAGTTTACTGTATTTTTACAGTATCCTTACTGTATTTTTTTTAACAGTTAATTACCATAAAATTTATTTATTACTCTACTGTAGAATGTGTAGTTTACAGTAAAGTACTGACAGCTATAGATGCCAGTAGTTTACTGTATTTTTACAGTATTGCTGTATTGCTGTATTATTTTTTTTTACAGTACTTTACAGTAGAATGAATGGTACTACTTAATCCTGTAGTAGACTTTCCAGAATAGTGTACACACTGATAACTGTTTAACATTACAATAAACAGCCAAAAAAAAAGTATTAACATTTTTACCAACTAATTGCAGCATAAGTTTTAAATAACAATGAGTCTATGAAGTTTAAGATCCAGAACTGAGATGTAAATACACCTTTGCTGTCCTAAAAACGCATAACCACTAAAACACCTAACACAAAAGACAATCATGCAAGTGACATTTTTATGGAACAGAACATTTATTAAAAGTCAGCAAATGCATAAAACAAGCAAAAAAATCTCTTTAACTGAAAGTAAAAAAAATGGAAACAAACAATTTCAGTATAAAGTTAACATAATTCTGAGCTGCATTAAAATGAAATTATTGCAAAAATCTGTTGTGAAACACAATGTCCTGGTGGTTGATATTCATCTGCCCAGGCCAACTGCTCACTACATGAGAAAGAGTGAAAGAGAAAGAGAGAGGAGAGAGAGAGAAATGAAACAATTAGAGGGCAGAAAAAAAATTCTCAGAATCAGGTTTGCTGGCCAAGTACAGGTCACTACAACAACAACTGGTTCCGACAGTCCAGTTGTAAGTCGATGTGGTCGTAAGTCGGTCTATGCAATAATTACTGTATGTTACCAGGGCGCACGTTACACATGCTATACAGTTAAAATGAAAGTAAACGGGCAGTGTGTGTGGACTTTTTGGCTTCTTTGCAGATTTAAGTGTCTGTAGTATCATTGCTCTCTATGTACTTACATAATAGGCATAACAAACAGGCATAACAACAAAGGTAGCATAACCTAACAGAGGTAAAGGTAACAGAAATTCAAAACACAATAGAAAAGTAACATAACTGTATAGGCTACCATAGACCTTTTTCACGAAAACCGGAAATACGTAATCATAGGGTAAACTTAGTTCCGGTCAAGCGTCAGTGCATTAGAAAACCCGGGATCAGAGAAAATTCAACAGAGAATATATACAACCTCTCTGACAAATTTGCCCAAATGTACATTTGCGGATGTTGCTAAACTCGTGGAGGAAAACTCCGTCACGAGAAAGAGCAAACTTGATAAAGGCTACAAATTTTTCCTCGAAGAATTTGTCCATAAGTATCAAGGTAACTGTTACTGAATTGCTCACCGCATGTAAATTTTAAAGGAAAGACATTAACGGCTTTTGTTAATGTTTAAAGGTAGAAAAACTTTAGATGTATTTGTTAATAGGCAAACAAAAATGTGTTATTTTAAATTAGTATACTGTAGATATATATACCTTAACTTTAGACGCAAGATGAACACCCTACACACGCACACAGAAAAGCCCGGACATTTGCACAAACGCACAACCAAGAGTGGGGCTTTAGAGTTTGATAATCAAACTCAATCAAAAAACACTTAAAATGTATAAGGATCGCTTTGTTGTAGCGAAATTTTTAAATAGTGTGAGCGTGATGTAAATCATTTAGGCAACAAGAATTGAGTAGCTGTCGGAACTACTGAGCAAAATTTAGCAACAAGCATCAAAAAACATTTTAGCTGTGTTTTGTTAGTTAATTTTAAAGAAGTTGTCCCCGTTTTTTCTAATTACATTTGTTAGCTATAGGAACTAGTGCCTGGTATTTAGCGACATACATCAAAAACATTTTGAAACTTTACTAAAATAACTAAGGCGTTACTCTACCAAACAGGCTTTTTCAGTAAATGTTTGTTCACACTCATGCGATCGCACGCCCCCACCCCACCCCACCCCACACCACACACAAAGCAAAACCCCGGACATGCATGTTTCAAATAAACCCCTTAACCATAACATTTTTAAAGTAATGAAGCACTTTTCGGCCAATGTGTTATTTAAAATAAAACACCCTAAGCACATCGACGGAACTCAGAGCCGCTATCAATGGATCTTCGCGTTTGGTGAAATACTTTTTGTATTTTACAATGAAATAAAATTGTTAAGCTGATTACGGCTTTTTCTCGTTTTTAAAAACTTGGGCTAAAATATTTGTGCTTGTTTCGCATTTGCTCTTTTTGACAGTGTTTTGCTCGGGCATGCCTCTAGTTGTTTAAAAGTTTGGGCCTTGTGTCATTTGTGCTTAAAATATGGTGTTTGCGCTGTCTGAGGTGAAGTGTCTGCTGCAGAGGTAAGTGCTCCGCTTTTTTAACTGTGAAGTTTTGTCCTTCATCCCGCCGGATAGCCTGAATCCATTTACATCGAACTTCACCATTAACAGGGAAGGAATGAAAAGATAGATGTGGCTGCTTTTGGGCATTACAAGAACAGCCCAGTACATTTGAAGAAGAAGAGGTCGCTTGCGCTATTTTTTTTAACCCTACCCTACGATTACGTATTTCCGGTCAAAAATGTGGAAGATGTGAAAAAGGTCTATAGCATATAACATATAAGTAACATAACCTAACTAACCTTAAGGAAGTTCCACTTAAAATCAGTGAGGTTTTTTTTATCAGAGTGGCAACATGTGGGTTTATTGCCTGTGCCTTCTTTTGGACCATTTTGCCTGTCTTTTTAGGCGCAATCTTTCCATCGCTGGCCTTTGTTCCCCTCTCAGGGTTAATCCCGATAAAGCGTCTAAAACACCCCCCCCCCCAAAAAAAAAAAAAGAAATCAAGCACTCAGTTAATTTAACATGAAATTAGAACTACAGTGGTACCTCGGTTCTCGAACTTAATCCGTTCCGGACTCCGGATCGAATCCTAAAAAGTTCGAGTTCTGATCGAATTTTTCCCATAACAAATAATGGAAAACCAATTAATTGGTTCCCGGACCCCCAAAATTACATCTAAATATGTTTTAATTTAGAAAAAATAATAATTTAGCATTTAAACACAAAATGAACAGGATAAAACAAGAAGAGCATTTTTTTCTTAATGGCTTCCAAAACGATAAAGATCTTATCCCAACATTACCCCTGTCCTGCCCCGATCGTCCTCTCGTTAACCTTGTGTGGGATCCCCATGTGATTAGCTGTTTCTGGTTGTTGTAATTAGTCCTCTGTATTAAGTCCGCGTTTCAGCTTTCCCCAGTCCGGTCATTGGGTGCGTTGGACTCGCTTACAGGGCTGGTTTAAAGCAACGCACAAGAGCATCTGGCTGCAGACGCAATGCATTACGGTTAGATGCATTGCGACCTCTCACCCGGCTGCACAAACTGGAACCGCCTCCGTGACGACACACCTTTGCCCTTATTGGCTGAAGAGTTTAGTTACACGCATGACGTTTGTATCCCAGGCA